CACACAATACGTGGTATATGACTTCATACCAATTTGATAGCAACATGTTTGCTCCTCCCATTTTATGCATGCTTTGAGAGGTCATCCAAGTAGTACATTGAAACTGTTATGTTTCATTATTGAGACCTAATGTTTAACAAGCAACAAATTTGAAACACTTTTGTGTCAAGATGTATTTCATGTACCATTTAAGGGATTTCTGGGTAACTTAAATAAAAAAAGTAAAAAATTGACGATGTTTTCTGTGTTGCTTGGGCAGCTGTGTGTTATATTGTATCCCTCTATACACTGTATACCACTATCAATAAATATAGTACACACTTTGAAAAAATCATGTAAATTTAGGTGCTCTGAGAGTGACATATACGAGCGTCAATTTTGACATAAATTTGAATCATAACAGACGCGAAATATAGTCCAATCAAACGTACTTTTCGTCGAGCAACGAACTTTTCAGTCTCGGAGCACTTAATTTTACATGACATGTTTGCTTACGTCTCATCTTTTATGTCAAAAATCCATCATCGTGTAAAATTACGAATTTTTAAGTGTGTAATTCGTCTGCCTCTAGCATGGCAGGACGGTCAAAACAACTGTCTTTTATTCATACATCCGTAAACACACCGTAGGAAAAGTTCTGCCCGTGCGCGATCACTTATTACTCCATCACTATTAAGAAATGAAGCAGTATTCGGTTTTGATACAGTTGTCATTCTTGCCTTAATAGCAAGGAATCGATTCTAATTGAAAGATCCCGCTATTTATTCCCTTTGGAGTTGAAACACCCTTCAAAGTCAGTCAAAATTGGATTTCTTATCAACAAAAACAAGCTATGATACCGATAATGACCATGCATCAGAACCCTAGTCTTAACCACTTCAAACTAGGGAACAACGAATAGAAGATTAGGAATCACATAAGTGAAGACTAATCAACTTTTTTTTCCTTGTTTCAAGATCATCCTCGGTCCAGGCAACCCGAGGACTTGTCACTATCAACAAGGCATAAAAAGTAACAAGGACTAAGATGTGTTCCTTTAATTACTGAAAAATCCTGTTCCCCTAGTTTGCAGTAGTCAAAACTAGGAATCGGTGGTAGATCTTACATTCCATAACGTACCACGAAAAGATAATCCACCCACGCAACGGGGCAAAGGGATATTCTGTAAACTAAGTGAAAAACGCAAACATTAAATTAGAATATCCAATGAAACAAAGACGAAATGATAAATCAATGTACAATCATAATCAACAGAAATTACTACTTTTTTGAACTTCGTGCAATAGTTTTGCCAACGCCCAGTAAGTGATTTCTTCAGAGCACTTACTGTCTACATCAATTTAGTTAAAAGCTTCCTAATGTTATAGAGTTCCATTTGTCGGAAGCAATTAATTAAAATTGATTTGAGCCAATGTTCACTTCTCAGTAAAGTGCAATATCCTCCCAGCAGACACTGTTTACAGTAAGTGTTTAACTAACAAAAGCTTCATTAGCGACCCATTTTAGCGCTCCAATCAATTAGAACTATCAGTGACGTGGTGAACTATCAGCATCGACTGGGTGGGAGGAAGCAATAGCTATTAGCGAGCCAGGGTTGCCAAAACAACAGATGAATCTGTCTTTAAAACCAAGAATCTATATTCACATATCACAGATTTTTAGGGTTCAAACAGACTACCAAAATGTTTAAATTATGATCAAACATTGCAAAAAGAAAAAGATTTTCTGGACAAACAAAAAACTTTTTTTCGAACAAAAACACATATTTCCTTTTGGTAACCCTGTTAGCAACGACGGTAGTTTTTGAGCTCATTAACATCATTCTGTGAAAGTGAGCTATACACGGCCACTGAGAACAACACAGAAAGAGAGTCACTTCAACTCAGTTGTATGAGAAATTTCTAAAAATTACTGGTACTCAGCACTGAGTTCGTGCAGTTTTTAGAAATATACCGATACCTCTGAGTAGAAGTGACCCTCTCTCTCTGAGTTATTCTCAGTGGCCGTGTATCGTTGATAGAGAAACGGCGCATCTCCTACCTTCAGGACTGGAGTAAAAACCATTACATTCTGATTTGGCACACCTTTTAGGAAGCAGCAATGACTCAAACCGACAATTTTTTTAAAGTCTCCAAGCCTCCAATCGATGCCGATGGAAAGACGTATGTGTGAACGAAGCGTGCAACCCGCAAGAGCACTTTATGATAATGGAATTAAATTCGCACATTTAATGCTATCGTTTGCCTCACCTCGTGGAGCTCGCGAAAACGTAAATGATATGAGAAAGGATCACACACGACGAGCGGTGAGGGAAGAGGGATTCTCACGTGTGCCATCAGCACCCTACTTTAATTACATTTCAGCGTTCAATTTAGCAAGTTGGTAGTGGAAGATGGAAAAAAAAGTGAAAAACGTTCACGATGTATCGAAGTGGAGCGCAGAGCTTCCCACTGGCTGTAAGCGACATAAACCAAGTCAAAAGGAGCCAAGGACCTCTGCATGGCATGGTGGCATGAGGTGGCAACGATGCTTCATATCACACTCATCTCGGTTGGTGGGCTGTCGTTAGGAGAATGGATGCTCGTTTTTTGTTGGCTCGTCGTCGTGGTAAAGGCAGATAGTATGGCTTCGAAAGCACGCGTATTATTCGCCCATCATAGCATTATTGTCTCCGGCATTGTTAAAAGGACGTTGTTGAAATCTCCGTATGAAGGTTGAAACTTGTATATGGATGGGACATGATGTGCGGAGCGTGAGTATCTCTTGGATCTTTTGCTTGCAATTGATGTCTCGGTAGATGAGAGCGAGCTGGCTGGCATAAGCGGATGTTGGAGATGGCTTTGTCTCATTGTAACGATGAAAGTGACTTAATACGGTACTTGAATCCTGTGGAAATTCGTCGATGTGGTTGCTACGGCTTCACATAAGTCTAATCTTCTTATAGTTGGTTAATTCTGTTAATTCGATGCCGACAGCGCTAGTCTGGTTCTAAAATTGCGATAAATAAATGAGACAATGAGTTGTCCCAGTGCGACTAACATTTCACGTCGAAAACAATATGCTTCTATCAAAACATTCCCACCGGGATCAGTTCTCTTCCTTGCAGCAGTCACTTCGCATTATCCTTCGGGTGATCAGAAAAATGTCCCTTTTCGGTGGTCACAAGCAAACAGTATTTTCGGCAGTGTATTTACGACACATTTAATCGAGGGCCGACTCTTCTTGAGGTTTGTCACTCCTACCGTCTATGTTCTATGGGAAAGATCGAAAAAGTAAGCAAGCAATTAAGACGCTTTATGGTTATCCTATTTTCTTTCTTGTTTTCCTCGACACACGACATCAGCTAGGCGGCAGCTATAGGCAGTCTCGTCTTGTGGTGGGAGGTGCCTTCCATCCCAGACGATGTCGTCGACAGTAGTGGCACCTAGGCGACGTCAAATGGCACGCCTTGCTCCTTCCGAAAGCGGAGCGATTTGCGTGGGTAGGTAAACACGTTCAGGGAAAAGCCGAGGCTAATAGGCTTATCCGAATTAGCGTTAAACGATTGCACAGGAAAAACGTCGGCAATGGTAATAAAATCGTTGGCTGATCAAAGTTACCGGCACAGTCTCTTGAAGCGTTGATTATGTTTTCGGTTCGTGTTGGATGTTCTTAAGGGTTAGAGGAAGTCGAGCTGGAAGTCGAACTGTTTTTTTTTTTTTTTTAAATAAATGGATACTGAGATGCAAGCAAACAAGGCCGTTGAATCTCAGCCTAAAGGCCGGCGCACAATAGATAAGTTTTCAGCTTTTCTGACAGTTAGCCCATGCATTATCTGTCAAAAAAACCCAGAAACTTATGCATTGTGCTCCAACCTTAAGAGCTCCGTTTATTCAACTTCGCTGAAACCAATGTCACTTACATGGCCAATGAAAATAGCTCAGAGAGAGAGAGAGAGTCACTTCTACTCAATTGTTCAGTGTTGAGTTCCTGAAATTTCTCCTTATCTCTGAGTAAAAGTGACTCTCCCTCTGAGTTATTGTCATTGGCCATAGGATTAGTAAAATTTTCCTTGAATATGACGAAAATCGAGAAAAAATTAACTAGGCCTATGAGTGACCGTGTGTTTTGCGAATTTGTGGTACAATATACGTCGGTAAAATCATATGCTATCCTAAAGACGAATCCCAAACATCTGGAGGCTTTGTCAAAAAAAAAACAAAAGTGTTGTTTGAATATAAGCTATCAGCCTTAACTAAGTGACTTTAGAGAAGAAGCAAAAAGAAATTCCATGGAAATTCTAAGAAGTACAGTCAACTCTGTTAACATCGAGAATAGTAATAAGGCCTGGAACGAGCAAAAATTGGTCAACTTCAAATTGGTTGTTGTTGTTGTTGTTGTTGTTCTTTATTATTGACATTTTACATCCTGCGGATGCATTCATGTCAGTTGAATTGATTTTTGTGTAAACAGTGTGTGGGTGTGTTCAGAGTGATGTGAGGATGAGTGTTAGTGTTTACAATACAATTCAAAATTCACTTAGCTTTCTTATCGTTTGCTCGTTTCCTCGTTCATCGTCTGCATGCCCATCTCATGGTTTACACTTCTTCTCCATAAATTTATTCTTTACTTCTTCTATATATATATTCACCATCTTCATTCTTCATGATCTTCCATATATCTTTTCCACATTATTTTTCGATTTCTCCGTTCCTTCCTTGCGCTTCATATTTATCTTCATTCTTCTGCATCTTCATACTCATTCATGTCTTCTGTAGTACTTTCGTTTTCTGCTTCATCTTCATCCTTTTTCACTTTATCTTCTTCGATTTCCATTCAGCATCTTCTTCATGAACTCATTTGCTTCCAACATTCATCGGTAACATTCTTCCACTGCATCTTCTTACATTTCCTGTCCGACATCTTCTTCCATTCAGACTTCATTTTTCTCCTGCATCGCTTGCTTGTTCTTCATCCTCCGCTTTGTTTTCTTCCTATATCCTGCATTTTCCTTTCGCCATTCAAAGCTTCCGATAAAATTTGGTTTCATGCAGAAACTTCAGCAACCGCTTCTCATAATCATCGTCGTTGCGTAACGCCGTAAAAAGGCTTGTGGAATCGATTTCGTATTTCATCCTGGCCGCTTCAAATTTTCTGCAGTGCAGAATAATGTGACGAACGTCAACAACGGTCCCACAGCATTCACATGCTGGTGGAGCTGTTTTCTTCAGCAAAAATTCATGCGTAACCCTAGTATGACCAATGCGCAGACGAGTGAGTATGCGTTGATCGGCAGAGCTGTACTGATCGATCCACTTCTTCGTTTCCCTTTTGACCTCCTTCAGCTTCACATCTGTCAATTGTGCCCAACGTGCTTCCCACAGCTGACGAAAGACTTGGTTCATGTTCTTGATGGAATCAATTCTTGGTACGGCAACGTTGATTGGTGGACTGTTCCGTGCTTCACTGGCTAGACGGTCTGCTTCTTCGTTACCGTGAATTCCGGCGTGACCAGGGATCCAACAAAGGTGGATCGGCCGTCCACGTAGTAAGCGCTCGACTTCCTGGATCCACGGATGCTGCGATCTGCCACTCTCTATGGCCGAAAGACAGCTGGCTGAATCAGACAGAATTATAACACATTCGGTTGATGCTCTTGCAGCGATGACGGCCGACTTGATTGCAAAGGTCTCCACCGAAAACACGCTACATTGTGACGGAAGACCTATTGCTTGCTGAATGCTGCTACTAAATACACCTGCTCCAACTATGTTCTCGCATATAGAACCATCCGTATAAATAGCCAAAGCACGGTTGAACCGGTTAGCCAGCAACTCCTCCACGATGGGACGCACTGTATTCGGGGGGTCCCCAGCTTTCACCTTCCGTTTCACATCCCAAACAATATGCGGCTTGGGTTCATACCACTCTCGGTTGGCTAGACGTGTTCGTACAGCGATGTTTGAAAGCTCTACATCAATCGTCGCCAGGCGATCGGACGCTCGTTCCACAACTGGAAGATCGATATTCCTGGAATCCTTCTCCATCAAACGAATTGCAGCACGAATTATGGCTTGCATAATCACTAAATCGAATGGCAAAGTTCCATAATCGCTGGAATCGGACTGGTGACGTACGCCCCTGAGGCGAACCGGACCATCCGGTTGTAGATGGGTGCAAGAGTCTGCACCACCGAATCCTTCGCTCTACTGACGAGCCCGATACCGTAGTTAAGCCGCGACGTGACGATTGCTGATCCGATACCCAACAGAGAATCGCGTTGCCCTCGCGGAAGTTTAGCCCCGATCATCTTCAAGATCCGCAGCCTAGAATCGCACGTGTTTTTGACTACCTTGCAATGGTGTTTGAAGAACAGCGACCGGTCAAGGTTGACGCCAACAACTTTCAGTTGATTCGTCCTCGGTACAGCTGTACGGTCGATGAATATATCGTTGCTGGGTTCTCGACGGGCGTTGGGACTGCCGTAGAAAATTTTTGATTTTGTCGCGGAAATTGTGAAGCCGATGCTTTTCGCCCATTTGTCGACAGCTTTCACTGCAGCCTGTAGATCTCTATACAGAGGACGCTCCTTACTCCTCCGTACCACCAGCAAAATATCGTCCGCATAGAGAAGCACGGCAACAGTATGCGGCACCACTCTGAAAATCGGCTGCATCGCTATAAGGAATAACGTGACAGACAACACTGATCCTTGGGGGACTCCGTTCTCCAATGGCATTTCATCCGATAAATGTTCTTCCACGTTCGCCCGGAAAGATTTTTTTTTTTTGTTAATTACTTTATTTGTACAGGCTCATTCGAATAAACTTTACAGAGCCAAGTTATCATTTTCTTTATACATTATAAATGTCTTAAATCTAAAATTAAAGAATTGGAACCGATTACTCGCGGTCTTCTCGAGGTTAGTGGATGACAATTGTTTGGATCGGGAGAGGGAAAAGGAGATTTGGAATATGATTTATGATTCAAAAATTTCACTATTTCTAAAACAAATACTTAATCCTATCGACGTTATATCAACTCTGTAATTATACAATTATTACAGAAACAAATCTACAAAAAAAAAATGCACACACACATACAAAACACAAACTAAACACAAGGTTAATCAAACTTACAATCTATGGTTAATATTCTTCAAGAAAACATATATGAGTTGCATAAACTCCAGATCGCGTCTAGCCAAAATATCCCGAACTGGAACATTAGGTTGTCTACCTCGAGCCCGAAGGGAATCGTACAACTCGGATCTGACTCCACGGTGCTCAGCACATGACCAAATAATGTGATCTGCGTCCTGGTAACCTTGTCCACATTCACAGAGATTACTGTCCCCCAGCTCAACACGGAACAAGTGAGCGTTTGACGAGTAGTGATTGGACATGAGGCGAGACATCATACGAATGAAGTCTCGACCCACATCCAACCCCTTGAACCAAGGACACTTCGACACCTTAGGGATGATTGAATATAACCATCGTCCCAAACTCCCTTCACTCCATTTATTTTGCCAGCTGGCGAGGGACTGTTGACGATAAATGAAGAAAAATTCGTCGTAGGCGATTTGTCGATCGTAAATATCGCCTTCCATAGCGCCCACCTTTGCAAGCAAGTCCGCCTTCTCATTGCCCGGAATCGAGCAATGAGATGGGACCCATGCAAAGGTGATGACAAAAGATCTTAAAGATAAAGCACTTAGAAGCTCTCGTATTTTCATGAGAAAATACGAGGAGTGCTTTACCGGCCTCATGGAGCGAATAGCCTCGACAGAACTGAGACTATCCGTAAAAATAAAATAATGATCTGGTGCAAGCGAGGCGATCGTTTCTAGCGTACAATGTATTGCACCCGGAAAGATCTGTCGGTGAGGAAACTGTTCAGTACGTTGAACATGCGCCCACCCATCTGCCACTTACGCAGAGTACGCAAGATACCGTATCGCCAAGTGGTGTCGTACGCTTTCGACAAATCAAGCGATGCAATCAAGCAGTGTTCGTCCCGATTTGGCAGTTTGGCTTCGGAATCGGCACTATTATTCCGGTTCGCCAACTGATAGGGTAAACGCCACTACGCCAGATTCTGTTTAGAAGCTGCAACAGCGTGATTTTGACGGATACAAGCAGACGTCGGATCATCGGATACCCTACCGAGTCAGGACCTGTAGAGACACTACGTCCTTTGTCGAGTGCCCAAAAAAGCTGATCCAGGGTAAAGTCCACGTTATATATCTCGTCGTTGTCCGGAAGAAAATCCACGCGATCCCGTTCCGCTCTTTCCTTCGCTGTTTGAAACAGTTGGGGATAGCTTGAGGTCGCTGATCTCTCGCAGTAGTGCTCGGCCAGTTCTTCTGCTATTTCTGCCACCTTCTCCGTGTAGCCATCGGGTCGCTTGATAACCGCCTTGCTGTATTGTCGTTTGCCTCTCAGGGTGTTCATCGTCCGCCACATTTCTGCCGTTGTGCTGCTAGGTGATATTTTTCCGACAAAGTCCTCCCACGAATGTTCCTTAGCTTCCTTCACTGCCTTCTTAGCCGCTGCCTTCGCTTCCTGGAACTGCTTCAAAACATCCGCTGTGTCCGATCCTGATATTCTGCTGCGCTTCAGTGCTCTCAGAAGTTTTCAACGCTGCTTAATCGTCGTTTTCACTTCCGGGCACCACCATGGTACCGATCTGGAACCAACTCGTCCTGATGTTCGATGAATGCTAGCGGTTGCTGCTCATAATATCCGATCTACGAACTCATCAACACCAATCTCGTCATCCGGTTTGATGCTGCTGGAAGTGAGTCGTTCGAACAATGTCCAATCTGCTTGGTCGTAGAGCCATATTCTTCGCTTCGTGGCGATCTGTGAGAATTCAGGTGAAGAGACGGTGATTGGAAAGTGGTCGCTGCTGTGGGTATCTGGAAGTGTTCGCCAGATAAATCTGGGAGCTAGCACCTCTGAACAGATCGAAAGATCTATGGCAGAAAATGAACCGTTTGCTGGATCCACCCGCGTGTGTGATCCGTCATTCAGGATTATCAGATGCTCCGTCAGTGTCTTTTCAGCGATGTAGCGGCCAAGCGCATTCGATGCCTTAGAACCCCAGGCGGGATGGTGCGCATTGAAGTCGCCAAGTACCAACATTGGCGCGGGCAGACGCTCCAAGAAATCATTTAGTTCTGTTTGGCACTGTTGTTGGGAGTTCGGAGATATGTAGATCGACACTACCGTCATTGGCGTCGGAAGATGGATGCGAACTGCAATGGCTTGAATATCACAATTGATATCGATGCGCTCGAATGGAACCCCTTCACGGATGGCAAGGCCCACTCCTTGCTGCCAGTACCGACGACTACCGGTTTGAAGAAGCAGGGTGTAGTTCTTACCGGCAAAGTCTGGCGCGACCACACGATTATCCACTTTCGTCTCTTGAAGCGCTATAACGGACGGTTCATGCTGGCTGATGAGCAATTTGAGCCCGCTGATGTTGGCACGTAGACCACGTATGTTCCACTGGAGGGCAATACATTTTGTGGGATGACTACTGCTGACTGTTGCTGATGACGAAGATGATGCTGACGGTCTACGCGTTGGACTTGACATATCGGCGGAATTCCAGGAGGAAACAGAGGGTGCAAGACACTCGTGACTGGTCCCACTCTCGTCCCCCTGAACATCCACTTCCCTCCTGGGAAGGGGGGAGGTTACTTCACGCTCTCCCACCCCACACCGATTTCGGAATACTGTCTGTTGCAGTAATGCTGACGGTGGAGATGCATCTCGACTTTGCTGTTGAGGACGAACTTAGACAAGTTCCTGAACCAGTTACTAGGAATGATAGTGCCGGTGGCACTCACAATGTTGTGGTAGCTAGTGTTGGCTGACAGTGAATTTTCGATTGGCCCTACATGCCGACGGCTGCTTTCGTTGGAAAATGGCCATATGGGTGTATTGGATGTAAGCGAGTGATATCGAGGTGGTATTATGGTAGGTAGGTAAGTGGTATGTTGCTCTAATGTTTCATAATCGACCGCAGAGGGGGATTCTCCATCAACGGGTTGGGGTAAGACGTCCCGGATGGATCCTCTAGCCTGCTGCGCTCTCTCCTGTGAGAGTGAAGGGGGTACTACACTTTCCCTCCCTTCAAGTCGATCGATGTCGTTGTCCGTTTCGCTTGTCCGGTAAGTATTGCTGGTCGGTAAACGTTTGGAGGAATGAATCTTATCGAAGATGCTGACTAGGGGGCGTCTCTTCGATCTCATCCTCGTCGATGCTTATCGTTTCCTGGTAGGATGTCGGTGTTTTTTCAACGGGCTTCTTCAGCGGTGAGCTTTATCGGCCGAGTGAGGTGTCTGTTATGCCTTTTCTTCTTCTTGTTGTGTTTAGATTCCGTTGTCGCTAGCGATCTACTTCTCAGATGCATCGACGGTGCGGCTATCTGCGATTCTCCGGATTTTCTCATGAGTTGAGAATGCAGGTTCGAATCGATTGCTTGGTTCGATTGACTTTCGGAAGGATGGATTGGTTTACTCGGCTGAGCTAGCGGGGTTTGTTGAACTTGCGGTGTTCGAATCAGTTTGATGTGTCCCATTAATTTGTCGATCTTTTCGTCCTTCTTTTTCATCACTTCAAGAAGTTGAGCAATTTGGGCGTCTTTCTCCTCCATTTTCTTCTCCAGTGCCTCTAATTTTTTTTTCCGGTCGGCAGTCTGCTGGGCTGCAGCTGCGGCGTAACTTCCTGTCCCTATTTCGACTCGCTTGCGTGCTTCAGGGTACGTCAGACTATGATCCACTTTTAGACGGATCACTTCCACTTCCTTCTTATAAACCGGGTTCGGACGATGAGGTCCACCACAATTGATGCAGTGGGTAGCTGCTGCACACTGTTCATCTTCCGCCAGTTCATAATCGGCAGAACAGTTAATGCAACGTTTCGGAGCAGGACATCGGAATTTCTGTTAAAAATGCATAAAAAAAACCTGAAATACTGCATTTGGAAGTTGAGTGTACAATGGTTGCTATGATGAGTTTGCTCTTCAGTTTTCAAAATGACGTCCAAGCAAGAGGAGCAGCGTG